TGAAATAGCTTGTCTCTACAAACAGATGTACTCTAATCACGAGCCTTATGTATCTGACATCAGCTGATGCTGAACAAACCAACTGGAGGAAGGCTGTTTGCAGAGACAAGCTATTTCACTCATGATTGGAGGCTCGTGATAGGAGGAAGCCTGTTTGCAGAGACAAAGTATGGGCAGTTTCACAACTGCGCGGTTCTCTCCTCAGCTTACTTCCTTGCATAAGACACCCTTCAATTTTTAATGTATTGATTTTAGAAAAAAGTATCATCTTACAGATGGAAAAATACAGTACCTAGGAGTGTCATCTGTAAGCGAAGAGATATTAGCAATTATATGGGTAAGCTTATGGGATAAAACGTTCAAGATCTAAGAGGCAGGTGTGTAGGTTATGTAAATGGGAAATGAAATATCTCCTTATGGTTTTTCATTTCTTAGAGATGTTGAGAATTTCATCAGAACGTGGGGTATGCCCATCATGTTTAGAGGCTTATTTATTTCATTACTTCTTTATGCTAATAAAGGATACTTTTCTTAGTAAATGTAACTTGTTTTTTCTTTGTAGCATTCACCCACAGTGGAATTCCCCAAAATTGAAGGTCAGTATGTCTAGGTGTTTATGTTTAATTCTGTAATTTATTCCAAGTAAAATGGACTGCTTTGTGGTAGTTCTTAAAGTATTTTGTTAACTTAGTAGCTGCTGTTACATATCTGAATAGGAATGTGACAGTCATCATATACAGTATACATGTCCTTTTACAATGACAGTAAATATTTATATATTATATAAATGACCTTTATATTTATTTGTTTCCTTTGATTTTTATACTATCTCCTTTCTTTATAAATCTACCATTAAAGTTAAGCTGTTATGTTTCTACTTCTTTGCCAAAACCTCAATTTTGCAGTTTCAATTTCATATGAGGATTAAAAACTAATGAAAAAAAACTAGCAATGGGAATTCTAAAGTAGTTACTTCATTATTACTCCATGCTAATTCATGGTACAAAAGTTCTACTCCACTGTCAGTGAATCATCCAAGCTAACATAAAATTGATTTTTGTACAATTTGATACGATTCTTTGTTCTTCTTGTAGTTTTTCCCACCTGTTTTTAAAAATGACAAAGGACTGAAATACTATAAATACAAAGTAATTATCTTTCTTTTAAACAGCAGTGGACATAGCAGTGTAATGCTATCACAAGTGGTTTTTATATTGTGATTTTTTTTTAAGATTCCTGCATTTTAAGATGTGCCAAGCTTATTGGCTAACGTTTGGTTTATTTGCTGCCAGATTTTGATGGTATGATCATGGCAGCCTTTGTAAGTTCAATGACTAAATGCAGCCTGGGCCCATGGCTTGCCTGCTCTTGTTATAGTATACACGAAAGGCAGAAGGTTTTTTGTGTTTTTTTTGCATTGGGAAACAGCTTACAATCATGCACATGTAACACATTGGTATTGTGCTTATCTTACAGCAGTTATTTTGTTTGGTGAGCCGGTGAGGTGGGAAACCAACCTACAATTAATAATAGATGTTCTTTTGACAAGTGGCTATCCTGGAAATCCTTATCAGGGAACTTATCCACATATTCCTGTATTGGCTTGTAATATGGACTTGATGTGGGCAGCTGAAGCCCAATCTCCAAGGTAAGAGTTGCACAAGAGTTGTTCTGGGGATATTTTTCTTTAGGTTCTAACTTTACTTAGATTCTCAGCAAGTACTATAGTCAAAGATGTGTGGTGTCATTGTTTGGCTTGAGATAGAACCATGGTGACCTGTTGAATGTTCAGTGAATATATACAAGCTTGAATTAATACCTGGGCCAGTGATGACACCTTCCCTCTCATTTAAGACACACTTATTGCTTTGTCAACCACTTGGAGGGATGTGGAAGCCCATTTATGTGTATATTAGAGCTTCTTTGCATTTCCACTGCTAGCTGATGCTTGGGGCACTGCCCTGGTGATTTCTGGAAAAAGAGGCAAAAGGGAGACCCCTCATAAGAACAGTCATTCTATGGGAAGGAGTTTGGCTGGAAATGTTACTTCAAGATGCACTAGAAATATCATTGGCAACACATCAATTCTAGTTTTCATGTGCAAGTATATACAGAACAAACTTAATTATTTTTTATTTACAGGTAAAGGAATAGCTCAGTTTGTCAAACCTAATTGAAATTGAATTGTCAATTAGACTACTGTTACAACTGTAGTAGTTATCTACTGCTACAACATATATACATATATGTAACTAGTGCTTCTGGGTTAATGTCTTTCTCTCTTGGATTTAAACTTTTCTTTTTGTCTAGTTTTGACCCGTTGTGTGTGTGTGTGTGTGTGTAATTGGTCCTGCCAAAAGCATCAAGATAATATTCTCATGGTAAACTGAATTAATTCAGCTTTGTAAAAGTATTGTGGAGGCTATCTTGCCCAGACTTTTTTTCCTACACCATTAGCACATTTCTTCAACTTTTAAGTGACTGCCAGGAATTATATAGGCAGAAGAAAAACTTAATCAAAGCAATCTTGCCTTACAATTCATAGAAAGAGAAGCTAAGAATTTGGACAAATTGCATTTATAGATTCTTCCTTTTGATGTAATCCTTTATTTTTATTCTAGCCAGCCATATAACTATTTCTATTGACCAAATGTTATTTCTGTGTTTCAGATTTGGGCATGGAACATTTATGGTTTGTTTGGAAAATATTTATAAGAAGATCACTGGCAAAGAATTGAAATATGAAGCTTTGATGGGAAAGCCTAGTGAACTGACTTATCACTATGCAGAGTACCTCATTAGGACTCAAGCATCTGCAAAGCAATGGAAGAGCCCTATTCAAACTTTGTATGCCATTGGGTGAGAGGTTTTTTTCCTTCCCTCTCACTTGCTATACAGAAAAAAGTTAAATTTCAGGCAAGCTATTGTTCCAGAGTTGAGTAGGGATAGACAACTGAAAGGAATATTTTGATAGCCCCCTGAAAATATCTTGAGCTCTAATTGTTTTGCAAGCTACCAGTTCACTCTTGTTCTTTGTAACTTGGAGACAGGCTAGACAGCCAATTAGTAACAGAACCTGTGTCATACTTCTACATATCACTATACAATTTGCCAATTAATTTGAAACCTCCTTTTAGGATCTTAAGAAGTTGTTTCTAGCAAAGAAATTACTTGCTCTTACCTGCTTAAGTGTTACAGTCCAGTCTTGTGCATATTTTCTTAATGGGAATTAATAGTCCCCAGCACCACCTAAGCTTGTCTTGTAGTTCATGTCGTGTGTCATGCTTCAGAGATTTCAGTCCAAATGCTACAGATTTCAATTTGGAAAAGCTATGTGTGAGAACTTTTGAATAATTGGTTATTCACATGGCTGTATAGTTTGTCATGCTTCAGAGATTTCAGTCCAAATGCTACAGATTTCAATTTGGAAAAGCTATGTGTGAGAACTTTTGAATAATTGGTTATTCACATGGCTGTATAGTTTGTCATGCTTCAGAGATTTCAGTCCAAATGCTACAGATTTCAATTTGGAAAAGCTATGTGTGAGAACTTTTGAATAATTGGTTATTCACATGGCTGTATAGTTTCAGCTATTTGTCAAATTGATTTTGGCAATAATTCCATTGTAATATAACCCTACCTGTTTTAAAATGAGACTGTTTTGGCATGAAATGCCATGGCAGGGTAGCAGCTAAAAGGGCAATCTGTTGAGTATGCAAGGAGTGATAAACTGTTCCAGCAGCCTCCTTTCATCTCTCCCATTCTGTATCCCAGCCCCCTGGGAATCTGGAGAGCTGTAATAATCTCAGCATGATAAGTTAAATAAGGTGGCCCTATGCCTTACCCTGCTTGTGCATTTCAGATTTTATTCATGTTAATGAGAAGCTTTTAAAAAAAAACCCTCTTCAATTGAAAGTTGAAACCCTGAGATGTCAGATTTTTGAATTTGGTTGTCATCTGTAAGTTTTTGACATCTTGGATATACCAATTTGGTATTGGGATATGCATGAAATGGTTGAAATGTGAGAACACTTCTGAGCCTGTGATATACCCATCTTCAAAATGATGTTTTCCACTTGCATTGAACTATAGTTCCTGTCATCCCCCTTTGAGGAAATTAGAATTGTACTCAAAGACATTGCACTGGCAATGGATTAGAAAAGACTGGTGCAATGTATTCACACTTGTAACCTTTAAAAAAAGAAACTTGATTCCAATTAAAATAATTAAAATAATACAGGTAGTCCTCTATTAACAACCACTCATTCAGCAACCATTCAAAGTTGTGACAATGCTGAATGAGGGATATTTATAATTGGTCCTCAAAGTTCTGGCTGTTGCAGCAGCCCCACGGTCATGTAATCGCCATTTGTGACCTTGCCTATTAGCTTCCCACAAGCAAAATCAATGGAGAAGCTGACAGGGAAGGTCGCAAGTTGCTCCTACTGCTTTTCTCCCAAAGAGCATGCTACAGAGTTATCCTAAGGATCTCGTACTCTGTAGTGTGTGCCCTCCCACAATACCACCCTGCTCACACTCCTTCATGCATATCCACCTGTGCTCACATGGATTGTCGTACCTCCTCCCCTGCCTGGCTGCCCTCCTCCACCCAGCCACACTTGCGCTGCACTGCAGATCCACCCAGCTGCATGCCAAAGCACTCATCCACTCACTGGCCTGCTTGCAAACAGCCCAGGACTTGCAGCTTCCTGCTGGCTTCCCCCTTGACTTTGCTTGTTGGAAGCCCCAGGAAGCTGCAAGACACAGTCACATGAGGTCCTCGCTTAACGACCCACAATCCTCACTTAAGAACGGCAACAGGGACTGCCAGGATTGCTGTTGCTAAGCGATGCGGTCACATGACATTGCGCTTTATGACTGCATTGCTTAGCAACAGAAATTCAGGTCCCAATTAGGTTAAAGTTTATTTCTTCAAAAGAACAAGAAGCCCAGTGCAATGCCATGCAGTAGGATTTGCATTTACAAAGCTGCTGCATCAGGAGTAAAATGCCTACAAAGCAAGCTTAGACACATACAGGTTCCCGTGAAGCGTGGATGGCACATTATACAAAGAGTAGCCTGTGTCTCATTCTAAGCAGCTCTCCAAATTCTAACACGTGATAGATAAATGATTGAAACTGCATACTAAAAAAAAATGAACTCTGTTACCAGAACAATTATATATTATAACAATTATATTACAATTATAAATATATACCTCATATATGTTAGTTCTGATGTAACTTTCCTGGCTTTCTAGGGATAACCTGATGACAGACATTTATGGTGCTAATCTTTACAACCGCTACCTTGAAGAGAGGACCTCCAGAAGAGGTTCCAAGGCACGTGTCCAGGCCAAAGCGCTGGGTGGCGCAAGATCCACCACAGTTTCTCAGGAAGAGGAGTTTGAGAATTCTTGGGAAAATGAACTTGCATCAGCAACTGCCAAAAGCTGTAGATCTGTCCTTGTTTGCACTGGAGTTTATAACCCTCATACAGAGGTGCCTTCTGATACAAGGGAGAACATTACTGAGACTGTCTTTCATGGGCACAGAGATTTCAGATTTGATCCTGCTTTAGTAGAACCAAACCACATAGTGTCAGATGTTGAAGCTGCTGTTGATCTAATCTTCCAACTGGAAAACTTTGCACCACATGAAAACTGCAGGACTTCCTAATGATTTGTGTGATGTTGTTATATTCCTTTTCTTTCTGTAAAACGAAGAGGAGTACTTAATATTGACCTGACTAATGTTTTTATAAGTAACATATCTAATACATTCCTAAAAGAACAGAACAGCACACCGCTTTATATCTGTTTTCTGTGTCCTGGTTTATTTTAGTGACCAACACGGTTATGAATTGTACTTTCCTCTGATTTTTTTTCTGTGTACTGACTTCACTCCTAGGTCAGAGATCCCAGTTTCCTGTTTAGATTATTGATGTTAAACATTAGGTGTGTTTGGCAGTCAAAACTGCAAAACAAGCATGCTACTAAACTCCATACATTGTATTAAATGTCTCCTCTCCCAAGGAATTAAAATGTACCCATCTGTAGTACCTAACTTTTTCTTTCTTCCATTTCCTTCCCTTGGCTCAATGCTCTCTGTTTTAGGAAGAGTAGATGAAGTGAGCTAGGATGTGCACACCAGGTGGACCACGAAAGCTGCATGTTGATGCTTTTCTTTTGTATTCAGTTTGAGATTGAATGACAGAATTTGTAACTGAACAGAGAGGTTTTGCCGAGGTACGTACATGTTCAATCCATTAAAATGAATGGGATTTGCATGAGAGGAAATACAATTTTGCTCAAACCCCACCTGGAAGAGCTTCTGTCAGACTTTGCTCATTGTCTGGGTTTCCTGCAGTTTTATTATTAATCATTTTGGTGTTTTTGCTGCACTGAACAGCAGTACTCAGCAATCCCTTGAGCTTTTAGTTTTAACTTGAAACTCCAAACCACAAAGGCAATCAGATACAGGCATACCTCAGAGATATTGCAGGTTGGGTTCCAGACTACTGCAGTAAAGCAAATATTACAATAAAGTGAGTCACGCTAATGTTTTGGTTTCCCAGTGCATATAAAAGGTATGTTTACACTATACTGTAGTCTATTAAGTGTGCAATAGCATATCTAAAAAAACAATGTACATACCTGAATTAAAAAGTACATTGCTAAAAAATGCTAATCATCATCTGAGCCTTCAGCAAGTCAAATCTTTTTGCTGGTGGAGAGTCTTGCCTTGATGTTAATCGCGGCTGACTGATCAGGGTGGTGGTTGCCGAACACTGGGGTGGCTGTGGCAATTTCTTAAAATAAGACAATGAAATTTGCACATCGATTGACTCTTCCTTTCACGAAAGATTTCTCTGTAGCATGCCGTGCTGTTTGATAAACTCAATATCTGCGAAACGCAATAAAGCAAAGCGCAATAAAACAAGGTTTGCCTGTACTGGTACGATAATGATGTTCTCTCTCCGTTCTGCTACTAAATGTTGCATGTGCAGTTTTTAAGGACAATGTATCTCGTAGATGTAAACTTTAAATTTTATGTCTTATTCTGTGAAACATTCTGTTAACTGCAACAGTCTGTCCAGTAAAATATTTTCTATTTAAAAAAGCAGAGATTTTTGTTTAATGTTCTACTCCCCCTTTAAAGCCTTTTGAATTGCCAACTATCATATCTTATAGCAGAGAATCCATTATATATAAAATATCTCAATTTTATTCTTGGAGCAAAAGCTCCCTTGATAGGTTTTCTTATCCTCTTACTCTTGTTACGAGTCTGTGGTAAGGAACTTTGTCAAAGTTTTGATAGTGCAAGCCCATACTGTCTTTTGAACCAAACATCTTTATATGCAACTGTCACTCTTAATAAGCTTTAATAGGAAGTCCTGCTAATCCTTTTTCAGCATTTTTTTTCCTTCACACTTTCCATCGGTTTACTTAGAACAGACTGTGGCCTAACTACCTCTAATTTTTTGGCTTCAACACTTCACATTCTTGTTTATACATTGGTGTTACAATGGCCTTTTTCCAGTCCTTAAGTATGAAAGGCCAACTCAGGACTAAGTTAAATATTTTTGTTACAGCAGTCATTTTACTCTGAGTTCTTTCAAGCAAATATTTATTTGCCCAGAAGGCACTGAACATCATCAGTATTTAATCAATTTATACATTGCTTTACACAGCAAGGAATATAACTTTTTTAGAAAACCCTTCCTGAAGATAGAGACAGACAGACAGACGCAAAGAATTTCATTTGGGCTTCACATTTCTCTCCTCCGCACACGCATCTAATTTATTCCAGACACTCCCCCAAATTACTGATACAGATTTTAAGGCATACGTGGAGCTACATTTGTATGCTTTTCAGATTAGTTTCTATCCTTTTTTGTTTCCTTTTTACTTTTTGTTTCCTTTTTCAAAGTTTTGGTTCCTTTTTGTTCTCACTTGGGCAAGACTTTTTTTTTTTTTTTTTTTAAGAAGACTCCTGCTTTCCTTGCTGGCATAGGAACATAATACATGTTTGGTAGTTGAAGAAAACTTGCAACAACCATGTTTCTGCAGACACCAGCAATTATTAAATTCAATTTGTGGTTGTAACAATACAGATACCAATTGTTACCTCTCCCATTTAGTATAATCCAGTACTATCATAGTGCTATGCAAAATTTTATATCTATGCCACAATATGCCAATATATTCAAACTCATTAATATAATAGCATCCAGTGAATGACATAGATGAAACACAACAAACTCTTCAAATATATTGCCCTATAACAATAACCAGGGGCTGCTGAAGAATAGTGGCCAAGGACCAGAAGGAGGATCATCCTCATAGCTGCTTCAATTAGCCAGTAGGAGCAGGGCAGGTCTCCGTCTCTAAATAGTCACCACTATAAAATGATCTCACCACATGGCTTATGGTGGAAGAAGCTGGAAAACACCACTTTAGAAGTAGAACAGGGATACACTGTTTCCACAGTAGGTCAAGGGCAAATTGAAGGTAATGTCATCTGTTTAGATCTTCTAAATACGGTTGTGTCTGTGGGTAGCAAGTCTTGAGAAACACCCTTTGTTCAGTTTGTGCTTTAGGCTTTCTGCAGACATTAGCTACTTTTCAATACATGATGTGCTCACTTTCTCCCAGGATTCTCACCGCTTTTATTTCTTCAACCAGCATTTTCCTCTTGGTTAGAATCAGTCTAGAAGAGCTTATCTCCATGTCTGTTCTTCAACCCTCTAGAAAATAAAGCAGTGAGCAAGACTGCTAAAGAATTTTGAGGGATCTTGCAATCTTGGCTGAGTTGATCTTCCAACAGATGCCAGGTAGCTGAAGTTTCCCATTATTATTTTGTTTCTCCTCTCTGAAAGTTCTATAATCTAGTCCAGGAGGTTAATATCTAGATCTTCTGCCTGGCTTTGTAATCTACAACATTTCTGTGATAATATCTTTGTTGTTTCTTTTTCCAAATGTTTTTGGCTGGAATTTTGTCTCAGATTCCTGGATTTCTACTGATACCTCTCCTCCTTCCCTTTTGATTGACCTATTCCTTTTGAATATACTGTACCTTGAAATATACCCTGAATATACTCTTCAAACTTTGCATTCCACTCATGAGTTTCATCTGATCAAGTTTCGGAAATGCCTATTAATTTTGTCTTCCTGCATTAAGATTTCTTGTTCTTCCTGTTTGTTCCCTATAGTTTGCAAACTTGCATAAAGATACTGGAAACCTTAAGTCATATTAGTTGACCTTTTCCTTCTTGTATTATTGGGTTCCTCATTACTGGGTTTCTGTACACCTTGTGTTTCACTCCAAGTCCTGTTCTCAGGACTTGGCAACACACTGTATTCTGACTCTCTTCTCCCTTCTGTAAAATTTAAGACCTCCAGATCAGGTTTGCAAGGCAAGTTCCTGAACCACATCCTTCAATGTGAAGGATGAAGAAAATGCTACTTGTCACCCAGCTCCTTCTGCCCTTTGACCAGCATTTCATAGTCCCCTATAATGTATTCAAGCCTGTATTTGGCTGCTTCATTTGTTTCAATGTAAATCAGAAGAAAGTGCTATTTGTCAGTCAGTTTAAACTCTTGGGAGCTTTTCTGACACATCTCAAATGTGAGCCCAAGGAAGGCAACACACTTCTTTTGGCAGAGAATCAGGCCAACATTGCTGCTCCTCTCAGTGAGGAGAGCCAGATCACCACCACCCTCTTCCTTAGTCCTTGAGGGTTGTGGCAGCGGCTCTTCATTCAGGAGCCCAACAATATCATTAATGGTAAGGCCTTGGAACTTATTCTGAAGCTCCAAAGGAAATGAGCTCTTCTTGACAGACTTGGTCCTTTGTATCATATTCCTCTCTTTCTCCATTGCTTCCCCCTGGCATTCTTCTATTTTCAGGGCGCTTATTGGTACAGTGATCAATTTCAATTTCAGTTTATTGCAGACAAAGACCAGTACAAGCAGAGTGCTCTGTGAGTATACAGTCAGGTCCAGAAATATTGGGACATTGACACAATTCTAACATCTTTGGCT